TTTTCAAAGAATACAGGAATTAGGTCCCCCTGTTTCTAGACTAATTACAGAATTTTTAGATGGGTCTAAAATTATGTTCAATTTCCCGCAAAAACGACAAAAACCGCATCTGCGTCTTGCACGTCACTTTCTCTTAGCAATTCCATTGTTACGTAACACTTCCATTGTTGACATGTCCATTGTTGACACTTCTATTCTTAACACTTTCATTGTTAATTAGCACTTCCATTGTTACTTAACACTTCTATTGTTACTTAACACTTCCATTGTCGAAATCTTAATCCTGTCTTTCCCCCCGGGGGAATTTCGAAAAACCCCTTCTTAGTGTGCGTTTTCGTGACGTACCCTAACTGTGTACCAAATTTCAACTTTCAACTCGTAACCGTTTGGGCTCTGCGCTTATTATTATTATTATCCTTATCAACTCGTCTCGATTATATATATAGATATGCTTTTTTGTAAAAATAGGATTTTCGTTTTATTGTAATAGAAAAATTTTTAACCAACAGAGTATTATTAGAATGTTCAGATATGATTAGTAAGACTGCGCTTAACGGTGATTCGATATAACGCTGTCTGCTAGAAGTCTAAAAAAAAAACCTCAAAATGTACTGTACGCTGATTTAAATTATCACAGCATTTTATAGATTCGTACATAATACGATTATTTACGAACACAAACCAATCAGCAAAAAAATGGCAAAAAGGTGTACTCTCCCTAAATCTATGTTTGGTGCAATTTTGGAAAAATAATATCATGGATGCCATAGGCAATATCGGCTTCGCTTGGCAAGAATTAACTGATAAATGCACGAACGAAGTGTGGAAGAAGTTATGGCTGAAGGTATCCAAGAATTCTCAACAAGAAGAGTCTATTGCTGTATTGTTAGGTTAACCAAACTCAACCTAATCGATATAGGACTAGGAGATATAGACAAACAGGAAATAGAGGAGTTACAGCAGGTTTCTGGTGATAGTCTTATCAACGACGACCTTCGAGAACTGGCAGAACAAAAAATCCACGTAGAACTGCAAAATAGTGATTCTGAAAACGAAGAACCCAAAAAATTTCTCTACAGATAGATGTCCTTAGTAAGAGTTTGGTAAGGTAACCGAAATCGTTAATCAAATTGTAGCGAATGATGCAGATTTTGAAAGGAGTGCAAAAGCGAAACGAGGCGTTTTGAATGCGATCTTCTGCTACCGACGTTTGCTTAAGGAAATAAAAAAGCGACAAATGAAACTTCGCGACTTTATTGCAAAAAAAAAAAACAAGAATTTCAGAAAAGTCAGGACCTTCGTCACAAAAAATGAACTATTAATATAGAAAAAATGAACTAATTAATATATTATTATACATTTCTGTGTGCATATATTTGTGTGTTATTTAACATATATTATTATACAAATTAATATAAAAATAACTTAAAATTAAAGTAAATTTTTT